ATGAGGTAGTCTGAATTTCATCAGCCATACAAATTCATGCTTATTTTCGGAGTCAAATAAGTATTTGTCAAAATGATGAATTTTTTAAAACTTCGATTATTATCGTTATAAACGAACGAGGAGTTAATCTCAAAAACTCTAGAGTTAAGTCCATATCAATGGTGTTTTAAAGTGACCTTGATGTGATCAATCAAATTTGAATCTCATTAATTCGAGATTTGTGCTATTGATTGACGTGATACATCTTTTTATATCAATTAGTTGTCATTTAGAGCATCTAGAAAGTAATAGTTTGTTATCGAGGGCAAAAATATGTCGATGTTATCTAACAAAGGTATGTGTATTAGAAATTCATTTCCAAGTTCTTTCTCTAGTCATAAATATTTATATAAATATTTCTTCGCATTATTCACAGTTTTTGTGTCTAAAATCTGTGGAAGGTAGACAAAATAATCTAACATATGACACTTATTTGAGAACATTCAAATCACATTTATGACTATTTTAGGAACTTGTACAATACAAGAGTACCTATTGTTTGTTGTGTCTACAAAGATGAGGTTTAACTTAAAATGTAATCTGAAGAAAGAAGTAACAAAATTTTATGAAATTATGTTTCGGATAGAATCTCCATCAACACCTAAGCATTTTGTGTGATTTTTTCCCCACTGTATCATTTACACAGTATAGTGGAACAAATAATTTGTTATTAATTATAAGTATTTCTGGCACTATATAGTAGTAGTATAGTACGCTTTACAAACATAGATGATAAGTGAGATTATTTTTCTTATCTGTTTCAACTGAAAATACTTTCTTGTTCTGATAAGCTCTCAGCTTAAACTAACAATGATTATGTAATATAACAGCAGAATAAAAATATTTCCGTTGCCACGGTACACTATTATTAGATGACCGGTTACCGAGATCATGCAGCTACTAAACTAAATGGTCGGGCGATATGCTATTAAAAAATAGGGATTTCGTCGTATCAGATACATGATTCAAGTCTAGATATGGAGAATCAAATTACGGGTTTGACAATACCTTATCCAACACGATTAAAAAAGTCTGTATTCACAGTAAGTCCACCGCAAATATATATAATAGAAAGGAGATCGCATTTCAATAAGCTTAGTATCTGTCTGTCCATACTCAGAGGCCAATTACTTCTTATTTTTACTAGCTACACACAACTATGCAATTCTTCTAACTTGCCTGACAAACCTATCAAATGATGCTACGTGTTAACCTAATTTATCAATTGAATTCATGAGCTAACGTAACTTATCACAAAATTTCACTCAATTAATGATAGTTAGCACTGTAATAACTAATCAATAAGATTTTATCGATTTCTATTACCACAGTATTTATTCAACAGAAAGTATTATTTCCATTAGGTTACGTAATATAATGAATTCTAACATGAAAAGTAGTACTTTTATTTTTAACTACCAAATGAACTAACCTATTATATCAGATCCCCAGTGAAGTCGTGGGTATACGCTGATGAGGAGTCCCATACAAAAACAAAAACTACTGTTCAATGTTTCTTTGCATTTTATTGATTGTCTAACTTATGTCGATTCGTGATTTCATTGAGAATTAAACAGAAGTCTTCTTTCCTAGCTTTACATACTTCAAAACACACCATTAAAACAATTCACTATTCAAGTATACTTTATTTTCATGATAAACAGCAATATAATTTAGTGTACAAGGTAAGTGTTTTAATATGTTTTCACTTTTTAAAATGGAAAGTTAAACGAACAAATTGAATGACAGATTAAGTTACATTTTTACCGTATTTTGTATATTTTGAAGAGGAGATTTCCCTTATGAACTAATGTCAGATAAAGAACAATTTTCCCCAAAAACCAAGAAGTATTCAACTTTCAATGAGAATCAGGCTTTTATATTTATTGAGATTGAAATATGAAACATGAGATTTCAATGTATTTTACTTGTTACAAGACTTGAACATTTAATTTATATTTAAGTCTGCACTGTATGTGGCCTTACTGAATCAATCAAGATAAGCAAATGATTGTTCACTTATCCATAGTTTCGCAATAATTCTTCAACTGATATCATTTTGTACATGTCAGGTTAACCATCCTATTTTAAGTGTTTCATCAGCATGTCATATCTTGTATTGTTCCGTTTATTTATTAAGTGAATTCTGAATGTTAAAGCATGGTTTTTTACTGAGGAATTCAGTTCGATCAACTAAAGCTACTTACATATACCTTCTATGAACAAGCTACTGTAATGTATCCCAACGTGCCTAATGAAAAAGCAAACAAATTAAAACTTAGAACTTAAAATGAAATTCTGAGTTAAAATCATCCTTTTATATGCAACACTTACAAAATAACTGGATGCAAAAATGACTGAAAAAGCTTGATATTGCATATATATTGAACAGTGAATAATAGATGCGCTACAAATTCACGGACATGTATCCTATCTCCTTAATGTTAATAGTTACCTGTAAAATAGCATCAATAATAAATATAAAAACATATTGTTATATTTAAAGCTTAAATTCTTGATATACTGCGTATAACTTCAGTACTCGAAATTTAGAATCCTCCAAGTAGTAAATGAGAAGATAGCAGACAATTGAAAGAAATGCTATTCCAAACAGTGTCAAATATGGTACAGAACTCTCAGATATTTATAGTTTTTATTAAAGACGAAATTATCATTAAAGTCATTTAATCCGTATACCGGGGTTTTTAGCATTTGTCCAATAGGGAATCTACACTTAGAAACTCTGGAATATTCTTCCAAAAGATGATTAGATGGGATATATTTGGCTCTTTCTGAGCTATTTAGAGCTTCCTTGTGTTCACCCTTAGGCCGTCTTCACACATATAAACAATTATTAATCAGTTTTCAAAATGAAAATAAAAACCGACATAAAATTCCCAGATATATTTAATTCACTTAAAACTTATTTTATTCTGTTATAATTCTCTCTTACGGTTATAACCCAGCTATTCCTATTGCTTAGTATTCTCGGACACCGATTCACTCGACAAGTCCCCAAATCAGAATATGGTTGGACGGGAGAGAAATTATATTCCAAATAACAAGGTTAAATAGAAGTAAGAAGCACAATAGGGAAAACGTTAGTATATTTATAGTTTTTATAGATTTCTAGAGTGTTCACTAAGTGTAGACTAACGCTGACTGCATAAGAATTAGCCAATCAGTGTGCACCAAAGCAATCGTGCATTGAGCATGCTTTTATCCAGTCTATGTCCCGCTAACACTAACAAAAAAGAAATCAATCCAAGTCAAGAAAATAATAACAGTAACGATAAAAGAAAAGTGGGAAGAACTATTTTAGTGAATAATTTTAAAAGTAAGACAACGATCATTTTGTTAAGATAAAAGAAAAGTGAAATAAAGTTTAATGCTATAAGAGAATAGGAAGGCCCTAGACAGAGTGAGTTAGAGAATGCTGGCCTACGGTCTATGCTCCATTGAGAGTAACAGACGTAAGTATGTAAGTACTATGAGAGAATAATTCTATTATTCACATTTCTTTCGACACATTTAATTACATTATGATATGAAATGGTTCAAAATGTATAAACTAGTTTACATAAACGGTACACACAAAAAACAAAATTTATCATTCCCAGGAGATCCTAATGTAGTGATAATATCATTCACATAATTTTTAATACGAACGGTAAGTATTAACTTTTTCAAAGTGTTGACAAAAAAGACAGAGAAAATTGTCTAGTTGTTTAGCTTTTCTTTAGTGTTAATGTTTACAATAGCTGATTAGATTGCCACTTCATGATAATAATTCATTCATTTAGTACAGTTTTATTAAACTTCATGGTTATCATTTTTTAAAAACAATCTAGTTGTAATATCTCAGTGAGTGCAAAAATTAGGTTTTCAGGGGTTTCGTGACTTACTTTTTCAGAGGATAAATAACCAGATTAAAATAAGCCCAAATTTAAATAAAACAAAGGTTAATCTTAATTTGATTATTTATTCTCTGAAGAAGTGTCTTGCATTGAGTTACGAAACGTCAGAAAATTTAATTTTTCTATTTGTTGGCATATGACAAATATATTATTTTTATTTATAACAATCTACACAATGCCCAATTTATTTGTAATTATTAAGTCAAACCTGGGTAACGATACCTACAAATCCATGGTTATTGTAATATACAAATAATAATGAAATAATTAGTGGCATGAGCCACTTATATCCACATAAGTAGTACATAACGACAGTCAGGAATAGAATGTATTTCAGTAGAAAATCAAGAAGGAAACAACGGTAACGATAAGAAATTGGCATGAGAATGCAGGAACAATGAAATCTGAGACGATGGACTGATATGTGCAAAAGAAACAGTCAAGTTTGAGATAATTGATTGGTATTTTGCAAATTGAATATTTACTGTATGGTACTGAGATTTTAGTGAGATGTCCAGTAATTTCGTGTTTGAATACATTTAGTTGTACCTAAACGTGTTCTTGTTCGCTACACTGTAACGTTGTGCTAGTAGTAAATTTTATTAATGAATTGTAGTATGTGGTTTAATGTTAGACTCAGTGTAATGGCTAAATTTAGAATGATAGTTCAACATTGAAGACAATATGTTAGCGAATGACTGGTTGATTGTAAAAATCATTTTATATATATGGGTAAACATAGAATTCAACATAACAATATGTGAATTTATGTTGAGTACTGGTTTATCAATTGTTTTGTTTAATTGTTATGTGCATACGAGATTTATAACTGCTTAGTCATATAATATTACTGAAATCCACTTTAAGAGTAGTCGATAGAGTATTCAACAGGGAACTAAAAAAATCATTAGTTTCATTCAATCTACCAACTTATTCTATCATAGATGATAAAATTTTTAGTTTCATAGAAACGAGTTTGTTCACATTTTTAACTGTGTATAGTTAAATTTTTATATATTTAATTGTTTTTTCTTCTTGACACAGATCTAATTCTACTAACATCTATCATTATGTGGCCAGCAGGATGGGATTCAGTTACAATTCGTGAAGTTTGTGGTGGCAGTGTTGGACCTTATTCAAAAGGGAACTGTTCCATAGGTAAGTCTAGTTGAGTTCAATAAAATAAACATTTTTCTAAAAAAAAAGTTAATTTAAGTATCAGCCATGCATTGTATTAAGATAGGAAGGTTCAATGATTCAGATGTGAATGATTCCACTTGACTTTTACTTTTGAATATCTATGATAAACGTTTATAATAATAGCTTCTTTTACAAATTAACGAATTCAATTTAGAGGGATGCAGTGAGAGTTCACAATAACTTTTTCCAAGTGATATGATTCATTTGAATTTAAAATGTCAACTGGTTACACTGCACCAGATGTTTCGAAAAACGTTTTCATGGATATTGGAATTTACTTCACACGTAATTCTTCTTGTTGGTGAGTAGGAAATAAGGTAGACATATTTACATCTAAGGATTAATTGCACAGCTAAATTTCATTGGTTCAAAGTTAATATTTCTGAAAAGTTAGTTGATTTGAAGCAGCTAGAAACCAAACGACTTTTTCATCCTAGTTTGAGATTCTTCAGAAATCTATACTCATTACCTTTACATAAGACCATGTCCAACATCTTTAAGTCCTAAAATTATCATTATGAAATCCAACTAATTTGTATCAATCCAATGAACCATATTATACAACCTTATCTAATTTATGATAAAGTGTGACTTATTCGATATGACAGCATTTAGCTAACAAAGTGGAAATATTTGATTTGAAAGACCCGCAAACGGTAATAAAAAACTTAGCTTGTTATTAACTAGTCAGTTTTTCTGACAGTATTGAGTAAAAACTATGAGCACGTAGAGTGGTAAATCATATTAGGAAGAACACTATATTGTACACAGAATACACAACATTCAAAATTCACTAGCGTAGTAACACGGGAACACTAGACAACCAAATATGACTAAACATGTGCCCTCTCTCTATTCTTTTTTCATCTTCACAGGTTGGGCACCATTGGCTTCAATTTGTGGAATAATTCTTCTGTTAATCAGTGCTATATTATCTATAGCAGTTGACAAATCAATCACTACACAGACAGCAACTAGACAGATACTAATGAACGAGAAATCTTGTGTTTTTCTACATTAGGGAATATTGAATTTTATGTGTGTATTTGACAGATATACAAACAGAAGGAAAAAACATTTATTTACCGATCACTAGCAAATAGATGTCTTTATCTAACATAGAGGATACATAAACACATATATGATTACATATTTATTATACATGTGTATACTATGATGTAAAACGAAACATTCCGCAATTATTTTAATGTTCAGAAAAATTCTATCTTAAGTTCCAAAATAAAATGAATAGTGAATTACATTACTAAAGCGTTCTTTTTTTTCAATCCCTACAGATGAAGTTAATCTGTTGGTTTATTATATCATTTGAGTTAAATGAATCATGAGTAAAGTCATTTGGTATTAGCACGCACAAACGAATGAGTTAATCCATGTTAATAGTATTTCAACAAATAAGTATATATTTGTGTTATTATTTATTTGAACACATAAATATTGGTACAAGAGGGCACAAAATATATATGCGCCACACAAAACAATGAGAATTCTAAGGGAAAAAAAGAACAATAACGAATAGATTAGTGTAAGGTAGTGTAATAATAATAATAATAATAACAATAACAATAATAATAATAATAATAATGAAAATAATAATAATGGGGGAAACCGAAAGGTACAATCAGAAGAAATCTTTCAGGTAAGGGAGACAGATCCACTTTTTATGAAGAAAGTAAAAGAAGGTTACAGCAGGATCGCCACTGGCTTCTATTCTGAGCCATATCTGATAACGTCTCTAGCCACTGTGTAGCACCATCTCTCAGACCCCAACCAGGGAGTCGTGAAGGACCAACACAAGCCAGTCCTTTGCAGCTTTCTTTCATGCCACGACACCATGTCATGCACTGACCACCTCTCCGCTTCTTCCAACCAGTCCCAGAGTCGGCAAATAATGCACGACGTGGAATCCTCTGGGACGACATTCGGAGAACATGTCCAAGCCACCGAAGTCGGTGTTTCAAGATGGTGACATCGATTGCATTATCATCTCTGTGCCGAACACACGATGCCGAACCTCTGCATTATTGACATGGTGTTGCCACTGAATGTCAGCAATCCTTCGGAGACAGCGATGATCGAACAGAGAGTCGTCTAACGTTCTCAACTCGGAGAGGCCAGGTTTCACAAGCATAGAGCAAAACTGCTCTCACCGACGCGTTGTAGATCCGACCTTTTACGGCCAGACTAACATCACGAAGGCGCCATAGATGGCCCAGATTGGCATAAGCCGCTCTGGCTTTCACTATACACACATTGATCTCATCACTCACGGCCCCACCAGCACTAATGCAGCTACCTAGATACAGAATAAAACGACAATACTTACGGAAAATACTATACTTGCTTCGATTAACAGTCAAACGATATATTTGTGTACTAGTTTGTAAAACACACTTGTCTTATGTAAACTGTTTATAATAACTGATTGTCTCAGCGTGTCTTTCTAAGTAAACTGAGTTCGAGTCTATATCTCATTAGTTAGAAACGAAGTTTTTAAATTAAAAAGTATATAATTCAAAATTCTGATTCATATTTTAAATGAAACGATAAAAATTCAGAAGTAAAATCTTTATTGAGTACATTTATAATCTGTTATTCATGTACTTTCGAGAGTAGAACAAACAATGAACATGAGTGAATCCAATTTATACAAATAAAGTTTCTCTAGTAATTTCAAGTATATTAATAATTCTGTTTTTATTAATATGTATACAGTTGTGTGAAAAGTAATGAATTCATTATTTCTTGTTGTTTCTGGGACAGTCGACACAAATCATTAAATGTAAGTGGTATTTTTGTTAAATATTAATTCTTCTGTCACACGATAAGTGTTATCTTCAGATAATCTGTTGCACAGTGAAAGGTCCCTGGGGGGATGTAGTCTTTATATTCGTTGTCGATTAATGTATTATCGGTACAAATCCGTTTCTATTAATTCTCTCAGTTAAATGATTGTTATTCTTGTTTTAAGTTTGTAATCGAAATCAATATGGATGATAACTCCAAACATCTCTTACGTATTTGCATAACTTCATTAAACCAAAAAAACAATTTCCCATTTCTCTCTGGTTTTTATTGGTTATTTAGTTGATTTTAGTTTGTGACGGGAAAAAGTTTAACCAATTTATCACGTTTTGATCGTTTGTTCACATATATGAACGTAAATCACCAAACAGTACACAAATAATACTTTACAACTTATGAGTGGTACATGTTACGTTTATCATTCTTTAGAATCTTATTTTCAGTAGGATCAAAATGTAAAATAATGGTACAACAGTGACAGAACTAATTATATACATTGAGTTCCTGGAAAAAGGAATTGTTTAAGAAATCAAACGGTGACTCAACTCTACCAGATGCATCATGCACATTTGATGACATCTATAAGTGGATTGAAACCATTTGTTAATAAAGGGGCAGTCATTATGTAACATTTAGAAAAAGTTCGTTGATAATAAAATATCCACCTCTTTATGTAAAATCGTCGTTATTATTCAATATGACTAATATCTCATCGTTTATCATAAGTGAAAAACAAGATTATGTCTGGGATTTTAGTCAAAGAATGTGATACAAGTTGATGTAGAGTCAAGGTGATAATGCCAGTAACAATTCCTTACAAAATTATATGATACCACATGATCTTGCGTTCACTAATCTTCTGATTGTATGATTTGTAGAAATGGGATGTGGTATAACTTAGAACCTATGCTGGTTGTACGAATGCAACTGTTTACTATCCTATTCGCGTTTTAATCATTGAACGGCCAAATACAGTGAAAAGTATAGAATTAACTAATCATGTCATTCATATAACTTGTATTCTCAGCTTGTTACTTGTGCTAGTATAGTCTGTCATTCATACATACTAGTTTGTCGAACAAGTGTGTTTGAGAACACGCAACTAGGTTCTTGTATGTAACATTTGAAGTGAAAAATGTATTTTGGACAGGACCACTTTGAGGTAAAAATCATTTAGTTGAACTATTTAACGATGGGGAGACATGTTCCAGTAACAGCGCTCAGTAAAAAAATGATTTAGATAGCTCTTACCTATCTTAGAGAATAGATACAATCGATACACATGTCTTTTATTCAAGGGGAGGTTAAAACAGAGTATTAATTACAAACTTTTTTGTTTTAACTATTTTTATTACAAAATATTCAATTATGCAACACTAGGTGTCACTTATGTTGTGTTCACTTTATAGGCAAAACAAAACTAATACTTATTAAAAGCCCCTTTCTCCTTTTTCTTCCGTTATAAACACACCCTATTTGGGACTAATCATAAACTTAACTTCTCAGAAAGTGGTATGAGAGACTCGAGTCTAAGGAATGTTATGCCTGACTCATAGAAACCATGTTATTAACTGCAGATTAGAGCTTCCAATGTGCTTAAGAGATCTATAACGGAAATCCAGATATCCTGGGCCGTTTATGTATGCTATTTTGGTCACACATCTTTTGGTTAGTGTGATTCATTCTACAAACGTACAGATATCCAGACCATGACAAATGGTGCAGAAACCTATCAATCTCACACTAAATATGGCTACATTACCGGGTTCCTTCAATAAATTAAGTGTTGCGGAAAAGAAAGCTGCTGTTATACTCAGTGGTAGCATTCAATAATTTTGTTAAGAACTCATGTGAGGCTTTTTACTCTTATTTATTAAACAAGGAAGAATTACTCAAAGATCTATTAATTCATTTTGAAGTGAGAAATACCCTATGACTAGAGACATGAGTGTAAATGAAACTTATCAGTATAAGTGTTGAGGAGATAGTACAGTAAATTTTCATTATCAGTTGTTTCGTCACATTTAAATGAGATTTTATCTGAGAATGAGAGAGGTATTAGGTATATAATAAGTCACTGAGAATATTATCTTGTATATTTTGAAAATTGTAAATGAAAATATAAGAAATTAATAAACGGATATATAGATATACATGTGCTTTAAGTTTTGATGACTTAGTTTTCAATGTTAAAATGTACTTAAACCAAGTACGTAACTTGTATCAGAAATAAGTTTTCATGTAGGAAAGGGTGTCTTAGTAACCACTTGGCTTATTTCCAGTAGCGCTTTGTTAAGCTCTTCAACGTGGACATGATTTTTCGAGATCTACAAGAAAAAAATAAACCACTTCAAATTATGGCAATTATTAATTTACCAACTATGATAAACAGTAGCTCTCCCCAAAAATATGAAAATTGTTTTCAAATGTCAAAGTTATATTCCACAAGATAATGAGTAAACAATAAAAGAAACAAATGAGATAAAATCTTTTCTTTATTTAGTATCTAAGTAATGTGATCTTTAAATCCGAAGCTTGAGACCTACAGAACATTGGCTTAAATAATACTTTAGAATAGATATGACACTTCTATCTTGAATTGTATCTAGGGAACTAATTGACAAAAATAAAAAATGAGTTTCGGCGTAATATCAGGTCTCGAGCAAGCATCCCATCAAATAAAGAACAATAATAAGTATACTTTTGTTATATCCTAATGAGTAGAAAAATTGTATTTCTAACGTTGCGTGACTTAATGTAAGCCACTTCTTCAGAGTAAATCAAGAACATTGACAAGGTGTTAGTTATGACAGATTAGAAAAGGGATGTGGGTGGGTTCTAGGTACTTAAATCTTAAAAGGTTTATTCTCTGTTGAACTCAGAGTAAAAAACAAAATCCGTTATCAGCAGTAAACTGGCGCACGAAGAATAACGTTCACTTTTAGACTAGGTTAGATTAGTATGTGAGCCTCTCTAGTGCCGTGATTTAAATTGGTGACAATGACTAGTGCTTAGTTGATTCTATTATATACTAATAAATTCAAACAGATAAGTTGCGGACTAGAAAAAGCACCTAATGATACAGATGCCCGGACAATGTTTAAACTGAATGGGTTTACAAAAGAGGTGAGTGCAAACAAATAACATAATAACGAAAAACAACTAGGAATAAAGAGAATGGAATAATAATAATAATAA